GACGCGTCCGGCCGCGGGGGGCTGGCTGCGGAGGGGCGCTCCCCGGGTCGCGGTTCTGCCTGCTTTAGTGCGCGGGGGGCCATTAACGGGCAGCTGATCCGCAGCCGCTCCATTTCGTCAAACAAAAGCAAAACCCTCGCTTTGGCTCCGCGGGAAGAACCGGGCCTCAGATGGGGACTTACGTTTTTCCCCCGACCGGTTGTCCGATGTTGCGGGATTCGGCAGCGCTAGCTCACGGACGCGGCCGAGGATGAGGCGGCTTGTGATCAGAAGGGAAGAGGAGCCGTCCAGCGTGGCGCCCAAGGCTGGCGCGGCCCGTTAAGCTGCGCCCGCCCTCGCCAACTGCGGGAGAGCTGGATCCCCGCGGAAAACCATCAGCCGCGTGAGCGCGAGGGCGCCTTCGCCCTGATGCTCCTGAACATGCGCTCAGGGGCCTCGTGCTGTGCCTGACATGAAGGTGCCGCAACCAGACAGCTTCATCCTCCTCGATTTCCCTAATCCCCTTTAAAGCCGCCAGACTGGCAGCTGTTGCACTTCTGGAACTCGAGAGCCGGTGTGTGCCGGGTGAAAAAAGGGCTTCTTTGTCTCTGCCCCGTCTTTGCTTACCTGAGCCACCGTTTCAGGTATGGCTTTCGGGGGTGAGTTCTGGCAAAAAGTTATATACGTGTCTCAAGCCTGACATGCTGCCGCTGTTTTGAACTGCAGCTGCCTGTGGTCCTAGGACTTTGACTCACGACCAGGAAGAACAAGAGGGCTGGAGTCAAAACCGAGGAGTTTAAAAGACTTTACTCAATGCCCCAGCCTCACTGTGAACACCTGGACAGTTCCTTTTAGATTGTACTTTTTAAAAAATCCATAAATCGTATAGAAGATCAGATGGTAGCATTGCAACAGCCTCCCCAAACTGTCACCTTCACTGTCAAAAATGTTGGGTCATAACTTCTATCGTCCACAGCCAGTGGCTGATGGAAGTTGTTGTCTAGTTCTTCTAAAGAGCACTTGCTTGGTGAAGGCTCTTTCAGATGAACAGAGATCTTTGCTAATTCACGCAAGGAGGCTGGAGACGATTTTAAGTGGCATTTTAAGTGTTGAAAGGGGTCTGAGTGAGAGATCCCTACAAATGGTATGTGCATTTGGCTTCTGCCAAGCAAATGTTTGCATTGTTTCCAAGCCAACAAAGGAACAAAATAATTGTGGATATGCTAAAGTACATAACAAATGATGTCTTTCTCAGGCGAATATATTAAAAAACATTTTGATTTGAAAATCATGGTTTATAGCTTAGCATGCTGTGTGAATCAAGCTAAGTGTGGTTTATTCAACAAACCTTCATTAAGCAATATGCAGCTTAGCATGATGTGAGAACCAAGTAGCTTTCTGCAAACGGGACTGAATTTACATGGAATGGATCTTTCATGCCTCTCTTGTTCTCTGCAGCCACTGACTCACCACCATCTAATTCTATAAGTTGCACACTTCTGTGAGAATCATGGAGGAGGAGGAGGAGATTTTTATCCCTTTTTTTTTTTTTAAGATACTGTATATATTTGGTCAACTCAAGACAGCTAACACACCTAATACTCTTGCCTCCTGATTTCCCCACAACTTTGTGAGGTGAGCTGGGCTAAGAAAGAGTGACTGGCCCAAAGTCACCCATCTGACTTCATGCTTAAGGGAGGCCTAGAACTCAGTCTCCTGGTTTCTAGGCCAGTACCTTCACCACACCACACTGGCTCCTAAATGAAGGGGGAGTTGGCAGAAACTGCACCAGCTTTATATCTGAAGAGCTCAGATCTGAGCCAAACATTTATTTCAGAGATTCCTATTTTTCCAACTAGAATGAAGTGCACAAGGCAACTTGTAATCTAGTGAAAACCAAATCATTAAATATATGAGAAGTGAGCGCCTTTCCGTCATGCTTAAGAAAAGGCAAAGACCACAGTTGGGATCTTATGTTTCATTGGCTGATTGCAAACATGGAGCCAGGCAAAGAGGAGATAAATGAAGGCAGAGACTGGTAATTGCAGTGACCATATGTCCCTTATTATAAAGGACAGTTCTTTATTTCAGAAAGCTGTCCTTTATTTTCTTGGCTTTGCTCTTGAATTTTCCTTTGTAAAGCAAAGATATTTTTTTTAATCCTTATGAATCGTTCAGATTTGCCCTTTTCAAGTTTGTCCTTTATTTTTTCCAAGAAAATATGGTCACTGTACTGGTAGTGTATGTTTTTCTAAAGCAGGGACAGTCTTCCAGATGTTGAACTTCAAAGTGCCATCAAACCTAAGGGTTATGGGAGTTCCAGGACTTAACTTGCCTAGGAACTATGGGTCTCCCATCAGTTATTTATTTATTTATATTTATTTTTCAAATTTATATATGCCGCCCGTCTCACTATAAAAGTGACTCTAGGCGTAAGCCCTAGTCAAAGATGGAGGGCATCACTTCAGATAGCAAAGGTTTGGTTGGCACCGATGAGCTGAAAGACACATGCAGTAAGTCGGTATAGTTGTCGAAGAGCCAGGACTGACTGCAATTTCTTCAAGAGAAGCATTCCCCAACCGAGATACCCTCCAAATGTGTAGATTCCACCTTCCACAATTCTCAGGCCTGGCCAAAGTGAAGTCCATGTACCTGGAGGCTGGCCAGCTTGAAAAAAAGCAGCTGTGGAATTTACAGTGATGAAAAATTCCGCCCAGTTGCAACCCCCCCCTCCCCCAAAACTCTATCCATCCCTGAAGGAAATAATACCGCATTGACGGAAAGCTTATGGTAGGTACTGTTTTATTGTCCAATAATACTGATTAAAATATTTACACTCCTACTTTTGTAAATCCACAGTTAAAACATTCATACTTATGGCTTTGGATTTTTTTCAAACCTTTTAAGCACAAGATCTTTCAGTAAAGGGTCATAAAGTTTAAATAATAAAACAGTAGCCTGATGCATTGCGTAGACACATTTACTTTGTATTTTTAATGTTTTTTTCCTTTAAATATAAAATGTACCATTTTTCTAAAAAATAAAAATCTGGTGATAAGATGCCAGTGCAACCTATTAGCCAACTCATATCTCGTTACAGACGCAGCTGCATTTTCCTATTATAATTGGCCCTTAAAAAAAATTGCCAGTGTTCAATCCGTTTTCCCCCATCCAAGTTTATTTTAATGCAGAAAAAAACCCTGATAGCGAACAATCGTAAGCAAGATTACAAAGCACTATACAATAGTATGTACACTGCCTTTTGTATTAGCTTTGTAAGAATCGTAAAAGCTTTGTGGAAGTTTAATTACTTCGTTGTGTGAAGGCACGAAGGTTTTTTGTTTTTTTCACAAAACCTAAGCACACTCTACCTCCATCCCAATAACCTTCTAGACCTTGAAAATAGTGCTTAAAGTTAGGAACGTCGGCAAATAATGCAACTACTGCAAAATATTAAATGGGAAAGAAGGAAAAAATATCTTTTTTTTTTTAAGCAGATTACCTAAATTTATAGGTAATCCATATTAACGTTGCCGTTTTAACCCTAAACTCATATTCTGAAAGGAAAACAGAACTTACTTCAGAAATTTCTCACAATGACAAAACAGTATAATCTAATTGTACAATCTAGCAAAACTCTACAATTAAACTTCACACAAAGCTGTTCATCTCCAGAATAGCCTTTGTTCCATGGTATTTTATTTAAGAAAACATACACACAAAAGGGTTTTTTTCCTTCCTAGAAATAAAGAAGGGGAGTTTAATCAAATATTCTAACTTTGGTCCACCTGTCCACTTCCCTAAGGGCACTGATACAAGAGAGCTGTCCCATGGGTAGGGCAAAAGTCAAACAAGAAAATTAACAAAAATAATTTGGTATAACTTTTTTTTTTTCCAAATCACAGATAATGCAGTCAACATTGTTTAGCTCTCCACCTTTTCCTCTTGCATATCCACTATTGGCTGAGTTTTTAAATCATCAGATTCTTCATGATCTGCTCCATGTGCTTCCACTTCATCCACCTGAATAGATGTGCTTGCAGTCAGTTCTTGATCCATAGGCCCTGACTCTACCTGTTCTAGGTCATTTTCTTCCATAAGGTGAGCCTGAACTTCTTCCATTTGTAACTGGTTCACATGTTCCACATCCAGCTCTTCCATATGTACTTCAGTGCCTTGTTCAGTCTGAATGTGCTCAACTTCTAAATAGCTTATTTCAACCTGCTCTTGTAGCTCTGCTATTTGTTCATGTTTTTCTTGATTATTCTGTATCAAATCTGGATGCACCTGTTCTACAGTCACTTGGGCTGGATCCACCTGGACCTGAATTACGGGCAAGACATGAACTTGTTCCACCTGCTCTATAATTGTCATGGATGCCACTGGATCACTGTCCACTGGAAGAATGTCCTCAGATACTATTCGCTCTGAAATGTTGTGTATTTCTTGCAGATGCCTCCGGAGTTCACTGCCTTGCATGAACCACACATCACATAAGGTACAATGGTTGGGTTTGTCACCTGTGTGTATTACCAAATGGTCCTTGAATTGATCCCAGCTGTTAAATACACTGTTGCAGACCTGAAAGAACAAGGCATAGTGATTTTAGGAAAACTGGTTAAACATTTAGTATACGGCTGATTACTGGGGATATGCAAATTCATCAATCCAGGAACAGACTCTTCTCAAGAAGTCTGCCATATTCTGTTTCCCTTGAAACATGCTGAACCTTCTCCAGACCATACCATTCCAATGAGCCATTTCAGCAGTTTTCAGAAGTAAGTTCTATGAACTGGAAATAGTTCAAGAATGAAACAGGCCTGTTTCAGGACTGGACCACCTCCTGAAACATGTCAAACCACTTCAGGTTTTGAGGATTTTTTGGAAAGCACTGAACCCCAAACCGCAGGGTCTAGAGGAGGTTCAATATAGTGGAGGAACCTGCAAATAGGTTGATCTGGCATCCATTTGGACTTTCTTTCTTTCTAGTACCGGACAAGCCTTTTTTTATTTGGTGAGCTAAGTCATCATCCTGCTTGGCACAACTGGACGGTGGATTCTTCCATGAAAAAACAGGATCATGGTTTAAGTGCACTCAAAGAGATCCTGCCTCATGGTACACTGTCAACAGAGAATATGGTTATCCTGATATGAACGCAGGCAATAAGCTTTTGTTCTCAGCAGGTGGCAGCATCTGGCTGGCCTTGTCCAAGCTCGGAGGCTAAGCATCGTTGGGTTCTGTTAGATGGGAGATCTCAAGGAAAAGCCAGGGTTGCAAATTAGACTGGGAAATTGAAAAATCATCCCAGAAGAAGGCAACGGCAAACCACTTCCATAGGGTAGTTCCATGTGAGCTGCCAGGGATCCACTGAATTAGGTAGAGTAAAATATAAGCAATGTAAAAAACAAGCAAACCAATACGTTTGCTGGGGTAAAAGGGACACGTCCCTGACATCACCAAGAATCAAACTTGTCTGAAGGAGACTTAACAAGCTTCTGAGGTCTGTTAACTCAGAGTAACAGCAAGGAAGTTGAAGAAAAATTCTGCAGACTTGCTATACAAAAGTCATGAGAAGGCAGGACAAACACTGGGAGATATTTTTCCTGTTTACAGAGTTTAAGCCTTACAAGTGTCTAAAACATCAATTTTATTATTTCAAAACTTCTGACTCCCTGTGAAAAAAACAGGCCTTGGCCCTATCCAGTTTTGTCGTGTCACTCACAGTTCGGCATATCCCTCAAGGCAACAAAGGTTGTACTACTCTAGAACAGAGGCAAAGTGGTGGATTTTTTCATTTCTTCCACCTCTTCTGACCTCTTGGAAGGAGAGCAGCATCAAGGGGATACCTGACAGCCATTCAGGTAGTTCAGCAGCTTTTATCATGGTTTCCTACCTGAAGATGATCTGGAAGGAATGAAGGAACTACTGTTCCCTCTCACCTATCTATTCTTTATGTCTTCCTTATACAAAAATAGTTTTAAAATAAGGTATTGGAATAAACAGTGGATCATATTGTTCCTCCATCCAATTCCTCCTTAATCTTGCTAGCATGACATAAAAAACTCAAACCCAGTTTTTTTCTTTGTTACAAACCTGGCATTCATAAAGCTTCTTCCGTCCCTTTTTAGCACCAGCACCAGACTGGCATGCTGTCAGGTGACATTTGAGCGTGCTGTTCCGAGCAAAACGTTCATGGCAATTTGGACATTCAAATGGTTTTTCACCTATCAAGGTAAATAGAAACAGTACAAAATTCAGAAATGTATTTAAGGACTAGCATACAGGGTCAGTTGTCTATCAGCTTTCTATCTGTAAGCTTAGCAACCTAGATTGCTGCATTCAAAATTAAGATACTACTTCCAATTATAAGTTCATTGCTGAAAATGGAAAGTATTTCATGGCCCAATTTTACAAAACTTTAGTCAGAAAAATGAGAGAAAACAAAACTGCATAGGAAAAGCCCCACCGAGCTCAATATGGCCATTCAGAGGTAAAGCTACTTAGATGCTTCTGTCAAAAGCCTTTCCAAATGTCACTACTGGGGTAAAACCATAATTCAGTTCAGAAGCTGCATCACAAGACTTTTGCAGGATTCACCTGATCTGTTTATGAAAGTGGAGGAGAAAGTGGGGGAGAAGCTAAGGCATTGCAAAAGTTTCCTAAGCCAGTATCAGGCTATAATGGGCAAGTCACTGACATATCAGTACGAAAGTAGGATAACTCTTACTTTTAGATGAGGGGGAAAAACGACCCCTGGTGGTCCCTGTCATCATGACTTAGTGGTGAAGTTTCTGAAATCACTGCCAGCCTACACTCAGAACAGACTACTGGATTATGGTGACTTAGTATCACCTAGCCAGAAAACATTTATGTCTTTGTAATAAAGGTGGAAAACTCGTGGCCCTCTGATGTTGTTAATTTACAACTCCCAGCATGCCTTCATTGTGACCACAGTGACGAAAGTTGCTGGGAGTTCAAGTTTTAGCAACATCTAGAAACCCAGAAATTCCTATTCCTGTTCTGCAATGATGATTTGGACATGATGAAGGTATGAAGCTTCCCCATCCCTTCAGTCCCCAAGAGCTACACATAAATGATTGAATGTTGACTATACTTACTATAGCCTAATCTAATTTTGGTTTTATAAGAAAGAAACCAAAACAGCTACTGTATTCTTTTCAGAATTTGTATTTATTTCTACACATTTTGGACAAACCCTTTCTCAAGCAAAACTAGAACAGACAGACAGAAAAAATAACAAAGGTTGATCATTTATCTTGTATGGCTGTCCAACTCACAATAACTCTCCTATACTAATCATCAAGAAAATTTACAAGTATAGTACAACATATAACATGAAGAACTACATTTCCATTCAATACAGTTCATAAATTTATATATTAATAAAACCACATGAGAACATGTATCAAATTATGGTAAAGTCTACTTTTATTGTTAATACAGCTGAAACAGTAGTTCCTCAAAGATGTGATGGAAAAGCCTTACTTCATCTTACAGTACTCCATTAAATAAAGCTGAAACAAGCAGCTCTCTCAGCAGCATAAAATACTATTTCACTCATCTATTACATTTAACCTAATTATTCAGGTATCTTCAAACTCAGAAAAAAATAAGAATCCACCAATTGCCATCCAATCTGTTAAAGCCTTCAACCGTGAGAATCCTTCTGGAATTTATGTTATAATTCAACCCTCCATTCAGTTTTGCTTCCAAACTCAACATCTACCCAACCTCTTTCCTATCTCTCTCTTAATAAAACCACAGCTTACCGAAAAGCATAGAATATGCTCATATTAATCGC